TGCACACACTTTTATTTCACAACTTTGAAAATAGTGGTTATTAACTGTAATCACCTCAAAGTGCACATCCAAGGGTCAGAAGGTTTAAAATCTAAGTCACATTGTAATATTGACGGTGGTGTATATCCTGTTGATTAGCCGTATACGCTCGGGTTCTAAATCACGCTTTTAACGGCGTGCGGCTTTGGTGGTGACCGCGTGTTATTAGCAAACACATCGTACGTTCCTTTTCCAACGCATCACGCGCCTCAGAGAAAGTGGGAGCCCTCGTCCCCGGACAGTAAAGTACATGGAACCGTAGCCATATAATCTCCGCTTTAAAAATCGGGACGGAGATATTTTCCCAGTACTTCTCAGGAGTGAATTAGCCACCATTTGATAGTGGCGGAAACAGGCGAACGGCCGCACATCTTTCACAGGCACGCGATACCAGCCAGTAAAGAATGAATTGTGAATTGGCCAGAGTGTAAACACTTTTCGGGCGCCTCTGGCACTTTCACAAACTTTATGCGGGCATCATCGAATTGCCTTTAAAGGGAGACTCTGGTGTTCTAAAAAAATTTTCTGTTTATTATCATATTCAAATGAAATTTTCAGGCAATGTATCTTTTAACCTGCTGTGAAGATATATGCAATCCATTTTCTTTTATCTCGAGTAGTTTTAGAGATATTGAATATATAATGAATCGTTGAATTGCCCAATTATTCTGCAATTTAATCATTAAATATCCTTGGACACTTTATATGGACATAGTCTAGAATAATCAAGGATCACAACTATACTATCACTGTAATTTTAGCTCTATTTTTATAAAAGTTATTGCCATATGTAATATAATGGTTGGGAACATGAGAATTTTCATGAGATTTATCAGCACATAAAAAACTTTCTCTTGACTAAATATAAATTTTAGTAGTCGTATTGTGTATAGGAACTCGTAAGCTGTCAATTGCAACAAGAATCGTTGAAATCTGATCACTAGATCAAAAGATACTGTGGGCAACAGTATAGCACATAGTCAAAAAACTGATCTTGAGAAAACACAAAAAAGTTTGAAGACTATATATAGGTTTAATTCTTGCCAAAAAAGCAACAGATGGGAGTCCTTTTTGTTCTAGAAGCCACCAGGCTTATAATCACCATCACTCTCTTTCACACGCCTCTTCTTCATGGCATTCTTGAAGTCTTCTGCTCTGATATGCTTTTTGTCACATGCCGCTAGCTGCTGCTGGTCCTTTTCCAGACATCTTTCAACATCTGTGTTGCCTTGGTTCAAATGCAGCTCCTTCAAAATGGCCTCAGAAGCACGTTTCTTTCCAGCATTGAACCGAGCAACCGCTTCCGCAACAGCAGTTTCGACTGTGAAGAGCAAGGCGTGCTTGGTTTTTGGTACAAGCGACCAGATCACTGAATGGAGGCTCTCATTCGAGTTTTGAGTTTTGCCTCTTTAACAGCGCTCCAACAGCTTTCGATCTGAGAGGCGAGTGTACACTGGAAGGAGCGCTTCTGCAACATATTCCGGGAGGTCGTACCGATGCTTAGGAGGAGCCTGCTGCCTTGCCACTGCCTTGTTGTGGGCACACCATGAGTCTTCTCCCTTTGGGCACCGTGAATGTTGTGGCTTTGCATCAGTAGAAGTCACATGATAGTAAGTGGCAAGGACAGCATTCTCCATCTCATCGATGTTTCCCTGGTGTGCCTTGAGTGCCCAACCATAATAATTTGTAAGCTTCGTTACAAGCTCAGTGGTGAGCTTTCCTTTGCCACCGAGGCTTGGCCGACCTTCCCCCTTGCTCTTCTGCAGGAGGTGTCTCAGTGCAGCACCCATCCTTTTATGTATATGATTTATGCAATCCTCCTTTTCGATAGCCACGAAGCCATACACTTGCTTCTCCTGAAGGCTGTTGAAACCGCGGCTATCGCCATCGCACAACATCGTTGTGTAGCGGAATCCATGCTTTTCGAGGGACCGGCGAAACAGAATTTTGGCAGCCTCCACCTCCATCTGGCCAGGCTTGCTCGAAGAGTTTTTTTTTGGCACTTGTGCCGAGCTCGCCACTCACTGTATCGAGGGTTGTCGTCCTTGGGGCCAATCTCGCAACCCAAACAGAAGTTCGAGAGAACTTTGAAGTCCAACACATAGCCCGAAAACAGTTCTATTACAGTTCCCACACAAATGTGTGACAAGTGGCCACGAGTTAGCCAAGTCCCGTCGTAGGAAACTGCGATATTGCCGGGGTTCCCGAAATTCAGTTCAGAATAGATGGCCTTCACAGCTGTTGCGCACTCGCTAATAATACTCGCGGATGCGTTCATCGCGGCAGGGTTCATCTTGGTTTTGACGTAGTCTTGGTACGTTTTGTTGTGCATTCCACGACGAGACACATTCAGGGCCGAAAAAATGTCGTTTAGCACGGTCTGCCCATTTCCCGTGCTCATAACTGCACGAGCCGCAAGCACATTTACTTCGAAAGGGTTGCAGGTCGCATTCCCTCCTGCTCTAGGCGAGCTCCATCCGGCGCTGACATCTCCGCAGACGGCACAGTTCACCACTATTCTAACTGCCAATCCATACTCACGGTCGCCCCGTGAAACATTCAATGGGCCAGAGCAGAATTCGCATTTCGCGCACCGAAGCAGTTGGTTCAGCAGCGGTAGGCTTAGCAGCGTGAACTCAATGCCGGACCCCGCCGCTTCCGGGGAATCTCCGATAAGCGACCGCTTTCGGCGGGTAGCTGATAACGAAGACAGCTTTTGTCGTTGCTCTTTCGCGCGATGCTCAATTGCCATTTTTTCTGCTTTTGTGACAAAATGCGTATCGACGCGCGTTGTCCCCGTGTCGTCGGCCACAGGCATCGCTTGCGCGGCTGCAGCTTCGGTGGATATCGTACACTCGCTGGCGCATGTCGCGGAGCTCGTCGCCGTCGATTCACTCGACGCTGCTTCAGGTATCCGAGACCGACTCTTGCGTTTTTTGCCGTAGGCATGAGCTGTCGCGAATTTGCGTCGCCCGCCAGCCATCGTCGCGTCCGAACAATTTGTGACAAGGAGTCGCGCATTGTTGCACACAGTCGGGCAGACGAAATTTCGGTCGTCCAATCGGAGAGCAGGATTTGCCCCACGTGGTATAAACGCGCCAATGCCGTGCGAGTATTCCCTCCTTTTCGGTGGCGTGTAGCTCCATAGTCGCCAGACTTAGAGTTGTTTTCTCGCTAAAACCGGATTGCTGAAGCATTTAGCTTTCGAATGATTCCAAAATGGCCGTGCTGCGGCTAACGGTTACCGCAGACGACGGCATTGAAATTGCCCGTTTTGGGAGGGCGTTTTTGAGCGAGAGTGATCATGAAGATCTCTTTAGAATGCAATAGCAAAATAAATACTAATCGGAATGCGTTAATATTCCAGCAATAGATTCTTTTGGACGTCGAGATTTCGAAAAAAAATATTTTAAAAAATTGATTTTTCGGCAATTTTTTGCTCTAAAAGACCCGTGTCTCCCCTTAAAAGTACCCGTGTATCTAACTGCTACATTCCTGAAACAGCGGCGGAGACCCAGTTTTAAAGTGAAATACGCGAGGAAATATACCAAACCACTGTGGGTAAATATCGGTTTCGCCTGGTATCACAAATTCTTTAACGCAGAACGCCAGAAGACGTGAAAATACGCGTGAAACAGCCACAAACACTCCGTCCGCGAGAGATTTAGGCCGCAGCCGGCTGTGGCGGAGCGTCTGCTGCGGAGCAAGATGGAGCGGTGCCGCCATCTGGCGGCGGGCAGAGGAGTGGAGACACCGGCAGCAGGGGTGCTGGCGGAGAGTTTTACAACTGAAGCTATTCTAGTAACGTTGGGCATTGCCACAAGGGCAGTATGCTATAGATTTCACAAAGTAGAGTGTTGGCAGATGCAGCACCTACTCGTCTTCGTTCACTCTCGGAGAATGCGCTCTTCATTTGGGATGCATTGACGAATTCCACTGCAGCGGCTGTTTCACAGCCACTGTGGCGGGGTTCGGTGTTAGTGTTAAGCCTATCCAAAGTCGGAGCATCGGGGCAATGGTCGGTGGTGACATCGGCGTTCGCTGTCGTTTTGGGAAGCGCCTGACGCCGTTTCCCTCGATACTTGGGGCGAGTTCTGAACTTTAAATTATCTAGACTGCACTTCTTGGGGCTTGCCATGACACAAAACTGCAGAGAAACACCGATCAACTCGATTGCAACGTTAGAGGCTTCGCTCTTTCGCCGGAAAGTTAGGCGGGGGAGGAGGGGGAGCCCACCGCCGACCAATGGCGGCCTCGCGCTGCTTGCCGCGATATTTAAAATGAGTGACGTATGCATTGTTTTTCTTGTTTTTTGTTTATTCTCCATTGATATACGACACTGGCTACTAGTGAATTGTGAAGGGAAAGGCCTTCACAGCATGCGTGCACGATTGGAAATGGTGGCTACCGTCTCGTTTTCGCGACAGGACAACGCGAACTACGCCATGTTTGGCCACATTTGCGCGTTTCTCATGTCACCGCTCCCCACTTGGAAGCATATTTAAATAATTTCTCGTGCGAATATCAGCTTGATATTTTCAGAAGTAAAAGATGAAAGTCCAAGGATGCCAATACAACTGGGGAAAAAAATCTAAAATTTTCCCGAAAACAGCGACTTTTCGACCCGCGTCTCCGCTTAAGTGTTATGTGTATAAATGGGGTTTTATGGCAGGGTTAGCGGTATTCAAAAACGACCACATGTAACCGGTCCTGCACTATAAGGTTACGTTGTAAGTGGTCGCTACACAATACATGCATGCATGACAACATAAGAGGATGTCATATAGAGAATAAAAACCATGCAACTTGCAAGAAAACTCCTTAAAAATTTGAAATCAGTATGAAAAAACTATGCAAACAGACATTTTATTCCTGTATGTTATACATTTTAAAAAACATTTTTTGAGTAGCACTTCCAATTAGGTGCATATACAAGAGAGAAAACAAAGTGGTGCACTTACGGCTTGCCAGCAGTTCCCCTGAACTCCTTCACGGACAGTTCTGACATTTTAGCGACCGGAGGATCAACCCTGTAACAGACATGTACATAGTGAATGAGGACTATTCAAAGCAAATAACAGAGCTTCTTTGCATTCAGTTACCTTCAACAAGTGGCTCCCCAGTCGGTATTATACCTGCCTTCTTGTGCTCAGCAGCACAAGTCACGCAACCGTTAATTGCTTTAACATTCACTCCGGTAAACTCAACAAAATACTCAACATAAAACTCAACAAAATACCATTATTGAGACCTAATAGACAATCCTGCCAAGGAAGGTATAGGGGATGTTATTAGAAGTAATTGTAATGTAAATGTGAAGAACGAAAAGTTGACAAAAAGAGAACTTGCTGTGGGCAGGGACGAGACTTGTGACCTTCGAGTAATGCGTGCTAGGCTCTACCAACTGAGCTACCACGGCGGCTATGCTCCCATTCACATTATGAGGTATACATGTGCATTAAAAGTGGAAGAGTCAGCCAGCACCGCCAGTAGCCATGAAGAAGAGTGTGGAACACTCTATCTGCCCATTTGGCCTTCATGTGCGCTACATGAACCAAAACTTCGGGTTCAAAACAGCATTGAGTCCCCACTTCTGCCACATCTATCATCTCCATGTTGCATACCTGCCAAAGGATTCTGAATCCAGGAGATTTCCGTGATGGCAAGGAAGGTTCGCTGAATTATTTGCCCTTTTTTTTCGACACCAAAAAAAGAAAACAAGGACAAACTAACAAAAAAACAGCAAAAACAAAAGGAGGAGGTGTCCTCAATCGCAACAGCCTAATCAGCATTTTGGTTTTGTAGTTGCTTGGAGAGGCCAAACACACAAGGGTAAGGTTTCCCACTAAGGTTAGTCTCAAAGTATCAATACAACTAGCAGAATAGTTTCCGTCAAAACAACTCGCGTATATCTCCCCGAGACACACACAGGAAGGGACGGGAAGGCACAGCTGGCTGCCACAAAAGTGCGAGTCAAAGCTTAGCTTAATACTTGATTCTTTTGACAGGAACGCCAAAACACATCTGGCCCCTTTTTATTGTGATGGCAATTATATGAACAGTGTAGGCTATTATTTTTCTTTTAGGCACCGCGGTCATCATTCATAGTATACGTACGTAGCTACATATATGAACACTTAAGAAAAAAAGCCGCCCGCACTCGGCGCCCAGCACGTCGCGATGCGCCAACGCACGCTTATCTCTCACGCTTACTTTGCCCTCTCTACGCCCCCCCCCCCCCCCCGCGGAAGGGGGGGGGCGTAGATGCTTTTGCACACCCGCAGATCTTTGGGGGGGAAAATCGTGTGCCTTCGGCTTTCACTAGAACGATTGCGTTAGTTGCCGGGCCCACAAAGGTCAATTCGGTATCTGCACAAGCCCCGTTTGCAAAAACAGCGCACGCTTTACGGGGTATAACAGGGACACTTGTTAGTTTATACTCATCTGTACCTGTGATTACGTCTCGTGCTTCGTTTTTGTATAAACAGTGCATTACGTGTTCAGCGGTAAACGCTGTTAGTTCACTCTCATACGTCCTGTGTGTATCCCATTCATGTGTCATCGTTTCGCGCGTCGTCATCGTGTATCGTTTTCATTCTCAGCGTGACATTCCAAGTTGTTGCTGTTGCATTCTTTGCTTCGCCCTTACGGTGAAACTGACTTTTTTTCACGTATTTACTGCCTTTAATCTATCGCTGCGTGCCCTTGGAGCTTGTAGATCGCTATCGCGTCGCCGCGACCATGGTTTTGTGGGTGGCGGTTGCGGCAAATGGTAGTTCTTTTTACAATTGCGCCTTGCCATCTACGATAGCATCTGTCACAGTTTTGTCCTCAGAGTTTGCGGAAAACAGCGTTGCTTTGACTGGTTGAGCACACAATTTCGGGGTTTCATCAGTAATGCTGCCGCCATACATGATCGTGTCAAGAGCGACTGCGGTTTCGTCCACATCAGTTGTGGCAACGACAATCACACTCACTGTAGAAAACAGTGCGTGCGCCAGTCGCACGCGTACTTTCGAAGCTTCAAGTACACTGCTCTCGACCTTCGTTCGATAGTTTCCATACTAAAGTTCAATTTCATCCACTGCGATTAGGAAATGTGTTCGGAACATTCGAATTTAGGCCCAATGGACATAGTAGAATTTGCCTGGGGAATTTCACAAATTCATATCTGTTGCGGTTTCGCATTACTGAGATTCTACTGTTTGTTTATATGAACGCCTCCTAAATTAGTTTATAATAACATGCAGTGGGTTCGCAAAAAGCCCAGAGCGAACCCATCTGCATTTTTGTCAATGCGGCCAGATCACGCACAAAAATTTCCATTTCCAGGAGATTTTCATGACAATCGTACAAACCGAAGAAATGGTCGAAATCAGGGAGTCTCCTGGCCAATCAGAGACACTTAGCAGGTATGATGTTAGAATCAGAGGGACTTGGCAGGTATGATGCTGGAATCATCAGAGAGACTTGGCAGGTATGATGCTGGAATCAACATTCTCTTGAGTTAATACATTAATTAATGTAGCACAGACTGAAAGCATCTTTGCCACAATATGAGAAGGTGATGAGGTGAAACATATTGAAAATGTTAAGGGGCCTCTGCCACTTGGGGCTCTTCACTCGACCGTGGAACTGAACGGACGAGTTTTTCCATTACTCTTCACAGTCCTTGGGCACTTACATAGGTCTTTGTCCACGACGCTCTCATTGAACAGACTTACTTCGGACTTTCCGGTGAGGACTTTCACAGCCAAGACTACTTAAAGTGTGCCGAAACGTGAAAGTGCTCTTCTCAACAACTTTCTGCTGACCAAGCATGGCCGATACATCGGCATCTCCGTGACACCGCACCGACGCCATTGCAACTTTCAGCGCTTGGCCGCGTTCATGCGAACGCCGAGCGCGTTCAGCGACATTCGGTGTGTGCCCGATATACACTGCTTAGACATGGCTTCTCCGGTTTGTACCAGCAAAGCAGCAGCAATGGATGCTGCAGACTCCAACGAATATCCAGCGGATCCGGACGATGGTTCTTGGTTCACTGCTAGCCGCCGACGCAAGCCAAAGACCACAACGAATTCTGCACCTGAGCCCTTGCCTGCCAAAAGTCAAGTGATCCCGCCGCTGCCACCCCTACCTGTGGATGACTTCAAGGTGGTCTTCCGACCACGAGGAGGCCTTCGCCTGAGTGAATGGGCACATCACGTGTTGGCAAGTGCCATCTGCATGGCTGCTGGGCTGCCAGGAGAAACAGTCAACAAGCTCCTTTTTTGCATCCAAGCGGAACAGAACATAGCCATCGCGAGCACACCAGATGAAACAATTGCTACAAAGTTGCAAGCCGTCACTGCACTAAATCTAGGATCGCAGAGATATGAAATGCAAGCTAATGTAGCCGCTCCAGACAAACATTACAAGGGAGTCATCATCGGCCCCGAGAAGAATACTTCACCCACCGAACTCCTCGACAACATCTGCACACCTGACACTGAAGTCTTGCACGCTCGAGTGATGGGATCCACAAACACGGCGTTTGATAACTTTTGCATGCCTTCAAGTTCCACGATATGCCTACTACAACCGCACGAAATACTAATACTACATTCACCGACCTCGCAAACAAGTTTGCACAATCTGCCTTACATTTGGACATCAGGTAGATGTATGTCCAACCCCGAGTAAACACTGATGCCAAGCATGTGGAGTTGAGACAACAGCGCCGGAGCACAACTGTACTACTCAATGCTTCGACTGCAAGGGTGACCAGCCAGCTACGCACCCCAAATGTCCTGCGAGGGAACAGAAACCTCCAAACAAGCATTACAACAAAAAGGCACTGGAGGCGAACGCGTTAGCACCACCACCTACATCACCACACAAGGGGCACCAGCCCATGTCCAGAACGAGGCGCAGCCAATCCAAGAGCAGAGGGAGGCCTCAGGACAGGGCCTTGGAATCCTTAAACAACACGCCAAGAACTGCATCCAAAAACCAGCACCACCACCCTGGGACTGATCCCCCAAAAGAACAGAGCCGCAGCGGGGTGTTCCAGCCTGAAATCTTTACCCAATTCCACCCATCCTCCCTCACCACACAACCACCCCAACGTACCTCTTACATTTAACGCACATAAATGCACGAAGCAAGAGCTGCAAGATGCCCTCAAAACACTGAGGGACCAGCATGATCACTCAGGCAATTAATGATTTCCGTGCAGAAATTAGGGATATGTTAAAGGCCCATACCCAAGCACTTGTAACCGAGCTAAAGCAGCACATACAAGAAAGCTTCGCGTCATTTAGTACAGGGCCCCAAGACTCATTGCCACAAGCTTCAAACACCAAAAGTCTGACCAAGCGACCCCACCCCTATATTTGCCCATCACTTAACTCAGGACACAGACCAAAATGAGCAAGATGGGCTCCCCTAGTCCTGCCTTCACCACGTGGCAGTGGAACTGCAGGGGGTTTCGACGAAAGAGGAGCTCCTTGCAACAGTACACTGCCACTTACGCGCACCATCCGCATGTCGTGGCTCTGCCAGAGGCGCACTGCACACCTATCTTCTCGGGCTTCCACACATACACAGATCAACAAACACCATCACTTGTCACAATACTCGTATCCAAACACTTGACAACTACAGAACACACACTGACGTTATCCATTCCACATGTGCTTGTTGAAATTATTCTTCAGAAACGCAGCCAGCAGAGCTTGTTTATACTAAACATCTACAGCTCCCCTAAATCTAGGAGGGACAAATTCGGGTACCTAATAGCGGAAATCTGCAAGCTAGGGGAACAAGTTGTAGTGGTAGGTGATTATAACGCCCAACACACATCATGGGAATACCTATCGGCCACACGTAAAGCTACCAAGTTAGAACTCCTCATCTGCAATCACAGATTTACACCGCTTACAGATCTGCAGGAGCCAACCAGAATAGGAACCAGTACAACCAGAGATATGTGCCCTGTCCTAACCTTTGTAAGGGGAGTAAACAATTATACAGTGAAAGCTCGTTA